CGCCGGCACCATGCCCTTTCCTGCCACACGCGCCGTCCCTCCTTCCCGCGAGGGGGCAGTGAACGCGCAGCTTCGAGGACACTGCGCTCCAGGCAGGGCTTCCAGCGGAGGCCCCGCCGTCCTGGGCGGGGAAGGAGGCTTTGCCGGCAGGTCCCTTCTTCCCAGGCGTGATCCTTGGTAGGTCACCCAGCTGCTCGCCTCCTCCAGCGCCGGGGTGGCTGGGAGCCCTCCGTGTCCCCGGCCCGTCTCTGCCTGTGACCTTGCAGCACCATCCAGCCGGCCCTGACCCCTGCTCTGTCCTTCCTCCCAGCTCTGGTCACTCTCTGATCTAGCGCCGTGCTGACTTGTTATGCGTTTGGCTACCTCCCTCCATCCGTTTGCTCAGATGTTTCCCGGCTCAGTACTTGTTGGATTGAGGAAAGCGCGGATGTCTGCGTGTCCCTCCTTAAAATAAGGACCTCCTCTCACCTACTTCTTACTGTCCTGGTGGCGCTGCAGTGGCTGCCCTGGTTCCCGGGGGTTAAGTTTCTCCGCGCAGCCCGGGAGGTGCTCCTGGGAGTCCATGCAGAGGCCTTGGCCCGAGAGCAGGCGCTGCTGGTGGTTGGCCACCAGGGGGCGCCGTGCGCATGTCGTGGGGGAGGTTGGGGATGTGGAGGGAAAGGGGGGACCCATTTCTCTTCCAAAGAAAGGCAACTCAGAGCTGTCCGAGCAGTAGGCTTTGTGTAAAAAGCTCCCCGTCTGGATTTGGGGGGTACCAGTCCCCCCTATAATCTCAATCACGTTGTATCGTTTTTAATGGTCTGCTGTTTAAATAAGATAGCCTTCTGTTAACCAGCAGCTAACAGAGTAATGGTGGCAGCCAACATTGATCGCGTTATAATACGCCAGGCTCTGTGCCAAATTTGTTCTGTGGCTAATCTACTCGTATATCTCCCCGCAGTTGGACAGAGTAGGTTCTAGAATGTTCTCAGGGTCCCCATGTTACAGAGGCTGAGGCTAGTCAGTCAGGTGGCTGGGCTGCCCAGGATTCCGCAGCAGGAGGGGCGAGGACCTGCGTAGGACAGGGGCAGCGCGGGCAGGACACTTGACCAGGATCCCAGGTCCTGGCGGCCTGTGAGTCCACGGGTGTGATTGGAAGTAAGAGTTCGATTCCGGCCACTCGGAGTTCTCACTCTGCGTGTGCGAGGCTGGGGCTGCCTTAGCGATGGCCGCGAGCTCAGTGGCCTCAGGCCCAGCAATGATTCTCTCCCAGGGCTGGAGGCCCGGCGCCCAAGCTCAAGGTGCCAGCAGGCTGCGCCCTCGGACGCCCAGGGGGTCCTTCCTGCCTCTTCCAGCATCAGTGTTACCGGCCACCTTGCCGTTCCTTTTCCCAGCTGTGGCCGCATCCCTCTGGTCCCTCCACAAGGCCTCCTGCTGTGCGTCTGTGTGTCCCTCCCCTTTTATAGGACACCAGT